CATCCGTCCGCGGAGTTCTCCTTCGTGTGGATACCCCTAAAGCGGCGCGATTTCTGCCGTCGCGGCGCTCGTGCCGTAGAATTGCTGGTGCTGGCCCGAGCGCCGTGACGGCAGAAATCGCGTCGCTCTAGGGCCAAAATCGCTGCATGTGAAACACGCTTAACGCCGAATTAGAGCGCAGCTCTTGAGGAGGAGGGAAAGCTACTGAAGGGAGAGTATACGCCACTTCCCTACTCCTCACCTCCTCGTCCTGCCTGCTACTCCTCCCTCCGAGTGGCGTCGGCTTCGCTGTCGGCGTAACCATGAGGTCACGTGACTCTCGTGACCTGAGAAGGGTCACGTGACGTTACCGGGGTCACGTGACCTCACGGGGGTCACGTCACGTCACCGGGGTCACATGATGCATCCGGGGTCACGTAACTTCATGGAGGTCACGTGACGTCATGGGGCTCACGTGACCTGACGGGGATCACGTGACCTCACCGGAGTCAGGTGACCTCACGGGGGTCACGTGACCTTGAGGTTGCGCCGATGGCGACGCCGCTGTAGCCGGAAACAGAAGCCTAAGAGCTGCGCTCTAAAAAATGTTTATATCATTACAGTTAGTTAAAAGGATGTATCAAGTTATAGTTAAACGTTACCCCAAAAAGTAACAAGTTACAGTATCACGATACAAGTATCGCGATACCACTCAAGACTGCCGCCAACCATTGTTGCGTAAACGCGCACGACACGTGCCATTAGCGGGTCCTTAGCCAAACAATTTTTTTTGTTGTGTATGTTCATACAGCTTGTAGTTAGTCCGCCACAACTGGCGACTTGCCTCTCAACCGTAGATGAGCGATGTCGTCAGTGTCGTACAACAGTTATGTTGGGGTATTTAGCCTGCTCCGTGTAGTAGTGATACACAACCGCACGCCGGTACGTGCGGTCGTGTATTACTATTACGTCCTAAGGAACGGGATAAGCCCTTTTCTTTCGGAAACGGCTTATCCCCGGGGTGGGGATAAGGCCTTTCCGAAAGTCAGTCTACCCACTTTGTGCAGAGCCAAGCCCGGCACTCTAAAGGCGGCAGTACACAGCTTTTCCACACCAGAAAAAGCGAACGTCTTCGACCCATAAACCAGAAACGGGAAAAGATATCGGTCTTTTTACGTCACCTTTGATCCACGAAATCAAGGGTGCTTGAATTAGCCACAGATCATCTATCACCGCTACTAGAGCGGCAATATTGGACCTTTTGAGACTGCCATAAGGTGACTTTGACTTTTGAAAAGGATCTATAAAACCTAGGATCCCATGATTCTGAGGCGCTCAACGTGCTCCGAGCTGGTGTGCGTTAGACCACTCGGCCACCGATCCCCCTTGTGCAGTGCACTGGCGTATTGGACGATTCTTCTAAGACAAACGCAAACACATCGAAAGGCTTTAAAGCAAAAAACCCGTTGCTCTCGGGCAGGGGGCGCGGGCGCGTCCGCAGGACGCGCCCGCGCTGGCAGCACTATCTGGGCGGCGTTATAACGTTCGAATGCAAAACATCTGTCAGCATCTGTAGACGCGCAATAACAAAACGTAAGTCAAAATAAATAAAAAAAATTATGCGGCTCGCGACCTCAGCATCCAATTCGGCTTTCAAGCACGCGCACGAGCGCGCGTGCTTGGAAGGGACACTGCAAGCTCTGAGCTCGCACTTGCAGCCTCTGCCACGCTGGCACTTTGAATGGAACGGAGTATAAAAAACTCTAGTAAGGAAGCGTGATGACGCGCGTTCGAAACGCGAGCCAAATATTCTATTTTGCTCGCCTGGAGCGCTGCTCAAAACTTGAGAGCTACGGGCCTATACTGATGATGCACTGAAATGGGCGACCCTTGTAAGTGAATCACCGTGGAGCACTCGCGCTTTACTTGCGTCCTACGCGCTCCCACAACAATGACTGGTGGTACTTGTAAGAAGCGCCATTGGTGAACTTTATCTAGGGGATATAGACCCTTTGCGAAATTCAGTCTGGTCACTTTGATCACTATCATCATCTCTGGAACGGCATCAGTGCCTTACCAGTGACGGCCTTCTAGTGACTGATAAAGGAAGACGTCAAAGATGCTCCTAAGCGGATCTTGCGAGGCCTGTACATTCGGGGGTGTCAGTACGACGCGACGTAGGAATCGAACATAAGAGCTACGTAAACATTCATTTCTAAGAACTCAGATTCAGTCAATCTGTGGGTGGCCCACAATCCGCTTTAAAGTACTTTGGTGTATGGAATTTTCTCGAGACATCTGAGTGGTTTGGAGCTTTGTTCTGAATGCAGGTTCTTGGTCGCGATTGAACTGAAAGTGACCGAGAAAGAACTCACACTGAACAATTCCTCTCGTGCCGTTGACTTACGAAAGTGACGGTGCCGATACATGTTCATTTCCACCATTGACTTGGCAAAACCTAAACTGTTTTACGAACCACAAGATGGCACTGAATTTAGCAAAGGGTCTATTAGGTTATATTCTGTTTCACCTAATGCTGTACAGCAACGAAGGCAAGAAGCTTGAGCTCCGAGCGGTGGCAGCTGCCATTAATGCACGAGAGCTTGTGCCGCCGAGATCTGCCCCAGAGCAAGGAGCTTGCGCTTGTATCCTTTCCTGCGGTACGTCATAAGCTGAAATAGAGTTTAGTATTGTAACCTCCGTCCAATGTGGAGGTCCTCTTGGCGCTTCTGACATTGTGCATCTAGGTCTTTTCGCGCTGTTTCGCTACTCTGCTAGCAAAAGATGCCACATCCAGTGACTGAAGTTCAAAGTGTTATTTTTGGCAATGCATGGTTTGCGGTTTTTTCTTTTTTTTTGTTACGGCACGCCTTTGGCATGGGCCTTCAGTACTTACTTTTTTCCCCCTTTTGTTTATGTATAATTCCTGTTCCTTCCTTCTCTCTTTGCAGGCTTTTGGCTTTGGGCTTTTGTTTTTCCTGCTCTCACCAGCATCTCGACTTGAGTGCAAATATATATTATGATTAGTGTCAAATCGAGGAACAAATCTTGGTTTCTGCAGAGCGAGATACGACTGCTCGTGCGAGCAATGCGCTTCGTGCTGCGGTGCGAAGAAAAAGAGAAAAACAAATGGTTCTAGTTTTAGCATTAACGTTCGTCACAGCGGTGCTCTGTTTTGTCATGTCCAGAAAGGGATGGCGGTGTGTCAAGCTACGACTGAACCTAATGAGGTGGGTCACATTGATGTTAATTTGTGCTTTGTTGCTTGGTCAGAATTCAATATTAGTCCGAGCTACAAGTATACTGCCATTGACCAAGGTCGAAAGTCAAGCGTATTTTTTTTGTGTGACCTATTTACTTATTAGTAAATACGAATATTATTACGTTCATATCACAGGTTTTATATTTGTGCGCACCGCTCACGCACAGAATGTTTTGTCTCATATATACAGGGTGTCCCAAAAGAAAATTTACAGGGTATTTTTTACCGCAAAAATAAACTAGGCATCGCCGAACGCTCATTCTTCGCCCAAAAGTGTAGCTAGAGGTCACAACCAGACGCCAAAGTTTCAGCCCGATCGGATAACTTAATAAAAGTTATAATTGATTTTCTGAAAATTTAAATGCGAAAATGGAGCCCGTTTTTCGTTTCCGGTGCCATAGAGCTTCATGTGTTTGAAAATTTCGTCAGCCACCATTTTCGTATTGAAATTTTCAGAAACTCACTTATAACTTTTGATTACGTTATGGGATCGGGATGAAACTTTGGCACCTGAATGTGACCTCTTGCGCTACCTCTGGGCGGAGAAAAGGCGTTCGGCGATGCCTAGATTATTTCTCCGGCAAAAAAAAATGACCGTGTAAATTTTCTTTTGTGACACGCTGTACATGTTCAATTTCAGTAAACGAGTAATAGTTAACGTTAATTTGACGCGCTTTCAATCAATATTCCTGGGTTTGTGATCGTAAAGCAGCCTAGAGCAAAGTGTGGCATTGAATTTCGCCAATGAACTGCTAAATACGTCACACAGGAAAACTTGCTTCTTACGATTAACAACTTTCAAATGCAAACATTAATAGGTAAAATGCGCATTTAAGTTAATTACTATCTCATGGCATAAAACAAAATTTGCACGAAAGTATGTGCCTAGTTTTTTTCTCGTATCCAAATAAAAATGAGATATTCTGTATTCACCAATAAACTTCATGCACTTAAATGATGGAGCCAAACTTAAGGAGTAATGTAGTTTTCTCTCGTACTACCTCTCTGAATGTTTGTTCTGTAATATTTATCAAAACAAATAGGAGTGCATCCGTTCCAAAAATATCTCTAAACGTCATCTTTGCCAACTCAGTTTGTTATTGACGTACCACTTTTTTTAATTAAACTCAACTTCTCTGGAAAGCGAATATATTGCACTTTTTACTAAAACAATATGCGTTTTTCAGTTTTAAGTTACAGGTACTTCCTATTAAAGTTCGTGGTCATTCAAAACATTATTGCGCCACCCTAATAATGGGAGACGAAGAAATGCGGGTTTCCATAACCTATAATTTTTTTTAAACTTGTTTTATTAGAGCAAAATGATATTATTTCACAATGAGATTCCAGTATGATCACGGGAAACAAGTCATGTATTGAAGTATGGTTTCTTGTCGGCAGGTTGAAACGTTTTCTTCTGGCTGCCATTCTTCTCTTGACGACTTGGGTTTTCCTCCTACGTATGCAAAACGATTCCTTGATGCATTTCAAGCCAATGACAGCGCCCAGAAATGCTTCCCAAGCCATGCTCCCAGTGAATCAACTCTTGGTTGCGACGCTAAGCGGTCTTGTGAAAGGAAAACTCGTCACTGTGCCTGGAGACATCCTGGTCCGTGAATTTCTCGGAATACCGTTTGGTCAGACAACAGGAGGTCGCAGCAGATTTCGTAAGCCGAAGTCTGTCCGTTTTTGGACCGAGGTGTACGACGCCACAACCAAGAGGGCCCCCTGCGTCCAGGAGTCATACAATTCCAAGGCGATGCTCATCGACAACTCTAATACGACCGAAGATTGCCTCCACCTGAATATTTGGGCCCCTATTCATAAACATTCCAAGGACTACAACAAGACAGTGATGGTCTACTTCTATGGCGGTTCATTCATGCACGGCGGCAACAGCTATTTCTTTTACGATGGGCGTTACGTCTCGGGACTTGGTAACGTCATTGTCGTAGTACCAAATTACAGGGTTGGAGTACTAGGATTCCTGAACGCGGGAATACGCGGTGCAAGTGGCAATGCTGGGCTCTACGATCAAATCTTGGCACTGACTTGGGTCAAAGAAAATATCATGTTTTTTGGTGGTGACCCAGAGAAGGTTGTTCTCTTCGGACAAAGTGCAGGGGCCATCTCAATCAGTTACCTCCAGTTGTCGCCGATGGGACGTCACCTGTTTCGAAGGGCCATCCTGCAGAGCTGTTCCGCGCTAGTTCCAATACCGGAAAACAGCAATGCTGCCGCGACAGAAAATTTCCGCGAGATCGCCAAGGCCACCAATTGTAGCAGAAACTCTCCCGATGGAGAGTTTTCTGCTGATATCACGGTGGCGTGTATGAGAAACTTAGACGCCAAGAACCTTTCGAGCGTCAAGGGTGTCTACTTCTATCCGAGCTTTTACGACGAAGTTCTTCCAGACACACCCTTACGGCTACTCGAGAACGTGTCCAACTTCAGCGGCCATGACATCCTCCTGGGAAACACGCTCCGCGAGGGCGATATGATGTTTGAGGCCAGCTTCCACCAGTCTCTCCAATCCAGGACTAAGCTGAGCATTGATGCCATAATGCGAGTGTACAATTTCTTTTACAAGCGTTCAACGTTTGTTCAAGCCCTTTTGACACTGGCAAACCTGCAACGCCTCTACGATGTGAGCAGCAGCACCTACGAGGGGTTTCGAGACGCAATCGGGGACGTACTGTTCAACTGTCCCACGAAGTACTTCGCGGAAGTCTTCGCCAAGAAGAACGGCCGGGCGTTTTATTACGTGTTGGCCCACAAGCCCTCGTTTAGCGTGTGGAACTCTCCAGTGGCTACTCACACAGATGACGTCTCCCTGCTCTTTGGGGTGCCATTCATGCTGCCCCATTTGGCCACCGATAAGGAACGCGACCTGAGCAGACGGCTTATTGTCATCTGGACTGCCTTCGCAAAAACAGGGTGCGTATAGCGTCGACTTTTTGTGCAGGCTATACAGACTGTTTTAAAACGTTTTAATATGTAATGAGCCACACACAAAAAAATTGGTGTTAAGTTATTGTAGCACGTCTCATAATATACTAAAGAGTACGAAAAGAGAGTTCGACAAATTAATTTTACACGAAAACAGAGTTGGACAAATTTATTTTACACATACTACAACAAACGTGTCGAAAAGCGGGATATATTTTTTTTCTGCTTGACAGCATTTTTCACCAGTGTTCCCGACTGTTCTCAATGGGTTCGCACAGACTCGGGTAATCCACTTCCAGTGACACACCAGACAAACCTAAAAGTTGTAGAAATCAAACAAAACATCCAGGAGTGAAGTATTCTGAAAGCGCACTAACGGTTATTCGTAGCTGTCCGTATGTTCGGTACATGTTACGTTTTTTGACAGAGAGTTTTAATAATTATAATTATTGGAATATTTTCATTTTATATGCCACATTATTTTTAGGAAGATGAAATCTATCAGGATTTGAACACGAAACTAGAACAAGAAGAATTATCTTTTTTTTTTTGTTTTACAGTGGAAGAGAAAGTAACAGGAACACACAAGATTTACTGTTCTTACTTTCTTTTTCACTGTAAAAAGAAATGTTTCCTCCTTGTGCCCAAGTTACGACTCAAAATCGTAACTGTACACTTCCACCAGCTCGCTTACGCACTGACTGTAATTATGAACGCAAAGAGGCCAACGATAGTCATGATCATGTGGACTCTGATCACTTACAGCGGTGGCGAAGGCTAAAACACACAATGGTTTTATTTCTATATTTGACAACCATGAAACAAAAGTCAAACAAGCTGGACATTGTTTAAATAAATGCATAAACATGCTGTCCACGACGGTGTAAATATAGCCGGTTTCCCACCTGATCTTGTTTAAGCGTACTTTAAAAAAAAATTCAGATCTGTCCTCTATACAGTTCATGAATATCCACTGGGTGAGTTGAGGAATATTCAGGGGCAGGGAGTTTAGATAGGGCTATACAAGAAAACATCCAATCAAGGATAACATCCAACACATAACAGCGCGTACTATCTCTAGTCATAGCTAATGTTTTCCAGGGCAGTGCGCGCTGGAATCAAGTTGTGCCTCTGTCTTGCCGCTATCCCGCTCATTGCAGTCGGATGTGGGAGCGTACTACCTGCCACGCCAGGGCCCGTTTGCTCGAAGCACTAACCGCGGTTAAAGTTACCGCAATACCTAGGAGAGAATTTTTAAATCACATGACTGGCTCGGTAGGGACGCGGGGAAACATGGCGGTACCCCGGTGAGTGAGCGGCGCACGCTTTGGAACTAATATGTCGTTGTAGCTGCAATATCGGGCGCGCCAGTCAGCAACGAATGGTGCAGGAGGCTTTCGCTTTGGCTTATCTCACTTAACTTGCAAAGCATGAGCAATGACCTCGCCACATTTTTTACGTAGTCTTTCAATTCTGTCCAATCCTAAGCCTAAATGAACGTGATAATTGTCGGCATGGCAACGTCTTTGGAAAGTGTATTGCCTTGACTCAATCGGCCGGGTATTGATAGCAGACAAAAGCAGACAGCGTCCCCCCTAGCACCCAGGTGAATGCTATGAGTGTAGTTACACGCGTTGCACGTGCTGCGTCTGCAATAGTAATTGTTCTAAAGCAAAAAGTCTAAAGAAAATTTCGTTTTGCACGCGCGTTCGTCAAAGCCTTATCATGATTATTTACTTGGAATACTTTACAAGAGGAAGGCAAGCGAGCGCGAGCCGTAGAATTACACTTCCAGCGTTCTCCTCGATGCTTGGGTAATCAAAAATAGGTTTATTGGGACGCTGTCTGCTTTTCCGTGCTATCAATACCCGGCCGATTGAGTCAAGGCAATCCGCTTTCCGAAGACGTTGCCATGCCAAAAATTATCGTGTTCATTTAGGCCTAGGAATGGCCAGAATCGAAAGACAATCTAGAAAAATGCGGCGAGGTCATTGCTGATGCTTTGCGAGCAGTGAGGTAAGGCAAAGCGAAGGCCTCCTGTACCATTCGTTACTGACTAAGGCCCCCGATATTGCAGCTCCAACGACATATTAGTTCCATAGCGAGCGCCGCTCACTCTAAGGGGCACCGCCATGTTTCCCCGCATCCCCGTCAAACCAGTCACGTGATCAAAAACCCTTCTCCTATGTACTGAGGCTAGAAAAAAAAATTGGGTTCTGTGTAAGTTTATACAGCCTAGAACTTGGTGTGCCTGACAGGGGCGACGAGTCTCCCAGCTGTAGGTGAGCAATTTAGCCAGTGCAGTGCAATCGCTAGCCTGGGTCTTTAACGTGCACCACGCAGTAGTGATACACGACCGCACGCCGGTACGATGCTCATCCAGATCGAAACGGGCAGGGGTGGGGATTGAACCCAGGATCCCTGGGTGAACTTTAGCCGCGGTTAGCGCTTCGAGCAAACGGGCTCAGAATATCTCTTTCAGATGATGATAGATTAGTGAATTAATCCCAAATCTGCACTCGTGTGTCATCTTTTCCATTGACCTACAAAGTAAGTCCGCAGCTCTGTGATGCTTTTAATTACCGGAACATGGCATATAGCAAGACCCGTAAAATGACACATTTGAAATTGCAATGGCATCGCTCGATAGAGCGTCAGTTGTTGGATCTTTTCCAACAATAAAAATAAACGAGAAACTGGTTCATTAAAGTACACTCTCGAGCACAGTAGGTGAACTGTTACCTGATGTGATGTATTTACACAAACTGTGGTTTATTCCTTAAAACGCTAACGTCAATCAGTAGATATGTAGAACAAGCGCTCGCAAATATCACGAAACAAGCCTTTGGCGGTTTAGTCTAAAGACTGTAAGGCGCGGGCGAGCTGGTGGTAGCTAATCAAGTCGTCTAACACATAAGACTGCTTTGCAGAAAAGGAAAACACATTTTAGTCGAAAAAACGGACGCTTGTAACAGAGCACTCCGAGAAAAATCGCGGACGCGCGACGTTTTTCGCGACTTCAGAAAAACGAATTCCCCGTAGCGGGAAAAAACAAAGACAAGACGGAGGGTGTTGTTTTCCAGGCACTCAGCGTCTCTGGGAGCTTTCGCGAACGCGTGTTGTCGGCTCGGTGGCGAACAAAGTTAATTGGCGTAGGACTGAAGATTCCTCATTTGTGTCTTCGTGTCTATAAGCGCGCCCGACAGTATCGATTGTATCTTTCCATCACGCACAACAGAAGGCGAAGCCTTGAAAAGCCCGCTTCCTCAACAATACATGTGATTGCAAGCTTTTAATATTTGAGAATATGACAAAATAATAAAAATAGGTTTCGAGACCTGATCTCTCGCAAATCACATTAAAAATTGCGAGTACTTGCTAGTTGATAAGGAATTCGCATAAAGCGATGTAAAACAACGGACCAAAGGGCGAAAGACCTTGTGTATCAAATCTCGACAATTTCACCAGTGTTGCTGTCAATCGAGAATTTAATAGCAGATTTTCTTGAGTTTGGTTGTGAACCATTAACTACTGGATGGATTTCCCAAGGCCGTTCTGTGCGCAGGGTATTCCTCTTTGTCAAGTTTCACGGAAAAAGCTTCTTGAGCGCGCCAAAGGATTACAGCGATTACTCTTGATTTTGGAAAACTTACCCGAGTGGCCCTGTAGTGGCATACTTTCTGAAGACATCTTTGAAGACAAATGTTTGCTTTAATATGGGGGTGGGGGAAGGGGGGGGGGGGGGGTGGGAGGGGAGGAGGGGGGACGCGTATTGCAAAGATTGAAGCTGCCACGGCAACATGACGTTATCAGCCTCCAAAATTTACATATTGCCCCCTACCAAGCATCAATGCGTCTGTCTTTGCATGTAGTCTGGTCAAGAAAAATCATTGGCTTCTGATTAGCTTAATGTTTCCCTATAGGCTTCAAAGTCAGGTTCGCTACAAAGGGGGTCTATGCAAACTCCTAATGGGGCTACTGTACGATCGCCTTCAATTCGTTCGGGTTTGTCTCCTTACTGAAGGGTGGAATCGTTTGGTTGAGTTGCAAAAATGTTTCACCTTCAGAAAAACAATAGAAAAGTAGTAAAGCTTAATGGGAGGCAACTAAGCGTAAATGTAGAGCCGGAACGAAATATTGCATCGTTTTAGTGGAACAAAAAAAAATCACACATAACCATCATTACTGTCAAAACGACATCGCGATTTCTACTAAAATCTGAATTACAAAGGGATTATAAGCTGCATAGCGCTCAAGACGCACTTGCTTGGTATTTGCCTTCTTTGTACAGTCTGTTTCGCTCTCTCAGCTAGCGACACAAGCGGTTTCTTGAATGTGGACGTGCTCAAACGATTGATTGTACGGACAGAAAAAAAAAGCGCGGTCGATGTATATTCGACTTCACTAAACTTTATACGCGGTTGCACAATTATGTAGCAGTGGCTATTGTCGTCAGCAAAGCAAAATCGGTTAAAGCTAAATGCCGCTACTTCGAGCCGATAGTTTCAATTTTGACTGAAATCTTTGAAACGATGAGTTAGATTTGAAAAAAAGAATACACATTACCAGAAAAAGTAAATGTGGAGTTGTATCCCAGGTGGTGCACAGTTAAATGTCACGCTCCAGATATCGAGAAAATAAGTAATTTAAAGAACAGCGGCTAACTGAAATGAGTCTTCCACTCAGCTTGCCCGGCCGTCGTAGCGCGGTTTGTTCCCGGATGCCATATTTGTCAGGATGTGGCGCCCCCTTCAGTGTGGTACCTGGAACGCGTCTCAGACTCGTGTGTTTCCTGCGTCCGAAAATGTGATCCCTCAGTTTCCTCCTAGTGACGTCATAAAACGATCACGCTGTCAACGGTCGCGACCCTGGCGGTGTCCCAACAAAAAACGAATTGGGTTGTGTGTACATTTATACACCCTAGAAATTGATCTGCCTCAGCGCGTGACGAGTCTCCCAGCTGTAGATTATAAATTTAGCCAGTGCCCTACAACCGCA